TATAGGACCTGGCTCTGAACAGGAATCTCAGCTTTATAACAATGATTTTGGCCAGAGAATCCAACAAAACATGGCCCAAAGGTTGGTAAAATAACTCAGATATCTCAGTACTAAGTCTGTGATGATCAGATGGTGTTGTGAATCATTTACCAACATTACCTCAGACAGCCTCTGATCGGATCCTTTATCCCATAAACCCTTAGTGGCTGCAGGCTGTGTTTCTAGTTATATTAGTAACATAAGACCTAAGCTATACAATACACTACAAGGCCGGGACTAGTTATATTACAGTAACATCGACCTAAGCTACAGTACTACAGATAAGATAAAAGTTATATTACAATAACACAGAGACCTAAGCTATGATTTCTACAGGCCAGGACTGAGTTATATTACAGTAACCTGAGACCTAAGCTATACAGTACACTACGAGATGCAGGACTAGTTATATTACAGTAACCTGAGACTTAATATACAGTGCCAGAGCCAGGACTGGATTATATTACAGTATCATAAGACCCTATAAACTGTACTACAGACCAGGACTGGATTATAATACAGTGACTTTTGAGACTACACTGCAGACTGGATTCAGTTATATTACAGTAACCTGAGACCCTGGCTATACAGGCCAGGATGGTATATTACAGAGTAACCTGAGACTGTTTTATACAGTACACTACAGGCCAGGACTGGTTATATTACAGTAACACAGACTTAAGCTATACAGTACCACTACAGGCCATTCAGATTATGTTACAGTATCCTCAAGACCCTCGCTATACAGTACACTACAGACAGGACTAGTTATATTACAGTAACATAAGACCTAAGCTATACAGTACCTCTGGTAGGACTAGTTATATTACACAATGGCTGTAGACCTAAACTATACAGGTACACTGCAGGCCAGGACTGGTTATATTACAGTGACACAGGGCTAAAACATACAGTACACTACAGGCCAGGACTAGTTATAATGCAAATGACAAGACCCTATTTTATGCATTACTACAGACCGGGACTAGTTATATTACAGTAACCTGAGACCCTGTAATACAGTACACTACAGGCCAGGACTGGTTATATTACAATGTTTATCATTTCGACTATACCCAGTACACTACAGGCCAGGACTAGTTATATTACAGTAACATAAGACCTATAAGCTATACGGTACCTACAGGCCAGGACTGGTTATTACAGGCTAAGACCTTAGCTATACAGTGCACACTACAGGCCAGGACTAGTTATATTACTGATAACCTTACTGAGACCTAAGCTATGGCTACCTAGGACCAGGACTGGTTATATTACAGTAACAAGACCTAGCTATACAGTACTACAGACCAGGACTAGTTATAACAGTAACATAGAACCCTCAGCTATATATGGTACACTACAGGCCAGGACTAGTTATATTACAGTAACCTGAGACTAAACTATACAGTACACACAGACCAGGACTAGTTATATTACAGTAACACAGACTGGCTATACCATTGCTAGGGCAGGACTAGTTATATTACAGTGACAGAGACCTAAGCTATACAGTACACTACAGGCCAGGACTAGTTATATTACAGTAACATAAGACCTAAAACTATACAGTACACACAGGCCAGGACTGGTTATATTACAGTAACCTGGGGACTAAACTGCTGCAGTACACTGCAGGCTGGGACTAATTATAAGTAACCTGAGACCTAAGCTATACAATTACTACAGGCCGGGACTGGTTATATTACAGTAACATAAGACCTAAGCTATACAGTACACTACAGACCAGGACGGTTATCACGGTAACCTGAGACCTAAGCACTACAGTGCACTGCAGGCCAGGACAGATTATATTACCCAGTAACTTATAAGACCCTAAGCTATACAGTACACTACAGACCCAGGACTAGTTGTATTACGGTAACCTGGGACCCCTAAGCTATACAGTACACTACAGGCCGGGACTAGTTACCATGCAGTAACATAAGACCTAGCTATACAGTACACTACAGGCCAGGAGACTAGTTATATTACAGTAACTTACAGACCTAAAAGCTATACAGTACACACAGACCAGGACTAGTTCTTCTGACCAACATAAGACCTAAGCTATACAGTACAAATAGGACCTGGTTGTATTTTGGCTAACATGAGCCCTAAAACTGCAGGCTGGGACTAGTTATGTGAATAAACATAGACCTAATATTACCCAATTGCACTACAGACCAGAACTGGTTATATTACAGTAACATAGACTATTTATACAATTTACAGACTGAGACTAGTTATATTGTCCAACCTGAGACTAAGCTATACAGTACACTACAGGCCAGGACTGGTTATATTACAGTAACATAAGACTAAGCTGCTCCCAGTACCTGGTAAGATGAACATAATATACAGTAACATGAGACCCTAAGCTATACAGTACCTACAGGCAGGACTGGTTATATTACCAATAAACCTGAGACACAAAGCTATACAGTACACTACAGGCCAGGACTAGTTATATTACAGTAACACAGGAGACTGGCTGTCGTGCACACAGACCAGGACTAGTTATATTACAGTAACATGAGACCTAAACTACAGTACACACTACAGGCCAGGACTAGTTATATTACAGCTAAACCTAAGACTTACAAGCTATACAGTACACACTACAGACCAGGACTGGTTATGTTACAGTAACCTGAGACCTAGCTATACAGTACACTACAGACCAGGACCTAGTTATATACAGTAACACTGAGACTCGCTATACAGTACACCTGAATGATTTAATTCTATTTATGAGACCTAAGCTATACAGTACACTGAGCCAGGACTAGTTATATTACAATAACATAAGACCTAAGCTTCTATGGATACACTACAGGCCAGGACTAGTTATATTAAATAACCTGAGACCTAAGCTATACAGTACACTACAGGCCAGGACTGGTGTATGCAGTAACACAGGACCTGGCTTCTTACAGTACACTACAGGCCAGGACTAGTTATAATACAGTAACATGAGACCTAATACACATTTTCTGTTTGAGATACATTTATATTGCAGTAACCTTGCAGACCCTCACTCTACAGGTCAGGATTGGTTATATTAGTAGCTGAGACCTAAGCTATACAAGTACTTTTCTGACTGGGACTGGATTATAATACAGTAACCTGAGACCTAAGCTGTACAGTACACTACAGGCCGGGACTGGTTCTGCAGTAACCTGAGACCTATTTCTCCCAGTACTGGTAGGACTAGTTATATTACAACCTGGATTTCGGACATAGTACACTACACAGACCAGGACTAGTTATATTACAGTAACATGAGACCTAAAGCTACGGTACACTACAGGCCAGGACTAGTTATATTACAGTAACCTGGGACCTGGCTGCCTACAGGCCGCAGGACTATTTTCTTCTGCAACCTGAGACCTAAGCTATACAGTACACTACAGACCGGGACTAGTTATATTACAGTAACCTGCGAGACCTAGCTATACAGTACACTACAGGCCAGGACTGAGATTATGTTGCAACAACATAAGACCTAAGCTATACTACAGTACACTACAGGCCAGGACTAGTTATATTACAGCTAAACACTGAGACACCTAGCTATACGGTACACTACAGTGAGACTAATTATAGTAACCTGAGACTAAGCATACAGAAATCTACCATTAGGGACTAGTTATATTACAGTAACACCAGGCTTCTATTCTACAGTACACTACAGACCAGGACTAGTTATATTACTAGTAACATAAGACCTAGCTATACAGTACACTACAGGCCAGGACGTTCTTACAGTAACATAAGACCTAAGCTATACAGTACACTACAGGCCAGGACTGGTTATGTTCTGTTTGAGACCTAAGCTATACATTGCACAGGCCGGGTTCAGATTATATTACAATAACTTATAAGACCTAAGCTATACAGTACACTGCAGGGCAGACTGGTTATATTACAGTAAACACCGAGACCTAGCTATACAGTACACTACAGGCCAGGACTGAGATTTATATTGCAGTAACCTGAGACCTAAGCCTGCAGTACGCCTGAGCCAGGACTAGTTGTATTACACAGTAACCTGGACCTAAGCTATGCACAGTACACTACAGGCCAGGACTAGTTATGTGCAATAACATGAGACACAAACTGCTGGTGCTGAGCGGATAGACACATTACAGTGGAGGCATGAGACCTATACAGTACACTACAGGCCAAGACTAAAGTTTACATTACAGTGACATAAGACCTAAAGCTATACAGTACACACAGGCCAGGGGCTAGTTATATTTTACAAGTATAACAGAACTCAACTATACCCAGTACCTGGGCCAGGACTGGTTATGTTACAGTATCATAAGACCTAAGCTATGCAGTACACACAGGCCAGGACTGGATTATATGTCATAAGACCTAAGCTATGCAGTACCATACATAATAATAATGACATTTGTAGTTGTCAATACATATATATAGTTCTTTTTACAGTAAGCAATTGGATGTTTTTTTTAGATAGGTTAAAAGCTTAGCTGTGGTTGTGGTTTAGAAAACTTGTGGGCTGGGGTGGTACTTGAAAGACAGCCTGGCCAGGTCACCTAACTGACCTACCTAACTGACCCACCTTACCTAACTGACCCATCTTACCCAACTGACCCACCTACCTAACTGACCCAATCTTACCTAACTGACCCACCTTACCTAACTGACCCACTATCAATCGACCCAATCATTTAACTGACCCACCTTACCTAACTGACCCACTCATCCTAACTGACCCACCTTACCTACTGTACAACCTTGACTTGCATTTATTTAACACAATTCATTACAACTGTTGTGTGTTTCATGACTGTCTTTGTTGTAGTTGTTGGTTTAATATACTGCACCTACACGAGGTTTGTCTTGGGGGCATAGCACGATTACGTAATATTGCTACTTGACTTCTTCTGGGGTTAAGATTCCAATATATATGAGTATTCTGATCTCAGATTATTCTAAGGATTAAATTTGGTCTAATCTGATGATTTTCCTTCCTCTGTCTACCTTAATTTAATGGTCTTAGTTTTCCAGGTACCATAATTCTTAACAAGCTATCACTTGAACATACCACCAGGAGATAGAGGCACCGTGGGGGTTCTGCTGGAGGAGAAGGTGTGTGAAGGGAAGGTGTTTGGCCTCACCTGGCTGGCTCAAGACCACCTCCTCGTGTGTGGGGCCGTGGGGGTCATGTCCACCTGGCGTGTCCATCTCCATACAGGTAAATCTTAAAGGTTGACAATTTTTTTTTTTTTTTTGTAACTTGATTTCTTAATGGCAGAAATAATGCTGTACTGTAATATACATGTGAGCTGTAATTATTATTGCCGTGTAATCAACCTGTCCATCTGTCCACTACTATACAGTATGTCTGCTCTGTATGTGTTCGTTTTCTCCCCTGGGTGTGGACCATTGATGATATACCACATGTGGACAGTTTTGAAGAAGAGTTTTTGTTAATAACTCCAGTGAAAACAAAGCCAGAGTTTTTATTTTGTTATGATCAATGGATATGATACTGTACACATGCTAAACATAAATTAACACACTAACTCTTCATGAAAAAATGGAAAAGTGAGTATAGTTGCAAAGTCAGGGTTGAGGTGACTTTGGACAGCCTTGGGGTGACTTTGGCCAGCCCTGGGGTGACTTTGGACAGCCCCGGGGTGACTTTGGCCAGCCCTGGGGTGACTTTGGAAAGCCCTGGGGTGACTTTGGCCAGCCCTGGGGTGACTTTGGACAGCCCTGGGGTGACTTTGGACAGCCCTGGGGTGACTTTTGGGGTGACTTTGACAGCCCTGGGTGACTTTGGACAGCCCTGGGTGACTTTGGACAGCCCTTTGTGCCAGCCCTGGGGTGACTTTGGACAGCCCCGGGGTGACTTTGGCCAGCCCTGGGGTGACTTTGGAAAGCCCTGGGGTGACTTTGGCCAGCCCTGGGGTGACTTTGGACAGCCCCGGGGTGACTTTGGACAGCTCTGTGAGAGGCGGGAAAATATATATAATGTATATAGTGTATATATACACAAAGGGTAATGTCAGTGTGTGGGTAGGGTATGGTGGGGTGGGGATGTGTGAGGTGAGGTGGGGTAGGGTGTAATGTGTGGTGAGGTGTGGGTGGGGTAGATGTGAGGTGAGGGTAGGGTGGGGTGGGGTAGGGTAGGGTGGGGTGGGGATGTGTGAGGTGAGGTGGGGTAGGGTGGGGTGGGGTAGGGTGGGGTGGGGTAGGGTGGTTGCCATAGGACCCATCAGAGGAATATTCCATACCCATGTACTGATGTTATTATAGACTGTACTGTATATGTACAGGGCGACCAACTATGGGTTAATGTACACATGGCTCAACTGACTTGTATTGAGATACTTTTCACAGTGCATACATTTTGAGAAAGAACTAGTGTGTGTGTGTTTGACTGCTTCTATCACCCTGCTTTAATATAAGGTTTCTCTGATCCCTGTACTCCTACTAATATTTACAGCACAATACAGTACATTACTGTATTATATGACTCAATACCATGTAATATATGCTTTAGTTACAGGATGAATACATAATTGGTGTATTATTTAAAGGTGAACTGCAGAAGGAGTGGAGTTATATCTTACCGGCCTGCAAGCAGCGGTGGGTGTCTGCGGCCTGCACCCACCCCATAACACCAGCAGCTGCTACTCACAAACTTATTTGTGGAGATCGTGCAGGTAGCCTTCACCTGTACATTCCTGATGTTAGTATTAACAACTTACTTCTGTGAAACATTTAATCCATCATACTTCTGATTCTTGTAGAGTATTGTAATGTTCTCCAGCCTCTCTCCTGAAGCTCACATTGTTCGTGTTCTGGGTAATAAGTTCAATATACAGGAGCGAACACAAACACCTGTATAATTTTGTAGGTTCGATTTACTGGATAAGAGATATGTACACAAGGGGAGTAGCGCTCTTCAACCTGTCTGCTGGTCAACTGCTCTATAGACGACGTATGGCAAGTGATACATTAACAGCTTCCATATGTCGCCAGGCACATTAATTAGGCATGTGGGACATCTTAAATATATTGCCACACGCTACTAGCTAGGCTGAATAAATAATACATAAATGGAGCACATACATAAAATACATACATAATATAAATACAGCATACAGAATATACATACACACATGGTTTTAGTTTCTGTCTTGTAAACAAAGTAAACATGTTTTTGCTAATAGTTTAAGTAAAGTTTATAATCTTGGGATTTATATACAGATATACTGTACGTACTTTAGGACCATATAAATTGGCAATGTAAAGTAGATACGGTTCGTCCCTCATAATGATCTTCAAAAGTGATGTGCTTCCCCGACTGGAGTACTATCACCCTGTCTGGTCCCCGAGATATGCTAGGAACTGTCAGTTGGTTGAAAATGTTCAAAGGAGGGCCACCAGACTGGTGCCTGCACTTCGGCACCTCAGCTACCCTGAGAGATTGGAGTGCCTGAACTTGCCTAGCTTATACTACAGACGGGCAAGGGTTAACCTAGTTGAGGTGTATAAGCATCTCAGGGGGCACTACTCAGTCGAGTGTCCTTACCTGGAGCTGGCGGACGCTCGCCCCACAAGGGGTCACATCTCAAGATTGAAGAAGCTGCAGGTCCCAAAAACTGTGAGGGCAAACATTTTCGGAGTGAGAGTTGTGAACTCGTGGAATAATTTGCCAGAAAGTGTTGTGACGGCACCAAGTGTGAGCTCTTTCAAGACAAGACTTGACCAACACTGGAGCAGGTTCAGGTACATTCAGGAGCCAGTACATGCCCAGCACTTGCCAACAGTGCGTAACAGAGACGGGACAGATCGCCCAAGCGGCTAGCGAGTCGATCAATGGTGAAGAGGATAAAATTAAAACAAGTAAGGATCTGGAGGTGGCTGCTGTTGTGGGTCTACCATACAATCAAAGAGAATCAAAGCTTCCGATCTAATGACTGTGCGCCAAAAATCTTTCAGAAATACTTTGAGCCAAAATTTAGATGTGCCAGAACGAAATGCCTACAATTGCCTCAAAGGTATTTGGACCATTGGCCTTATCAGAACTGGATGAACAGTTGAAGGATGCTCATTGTGAAACAATATTAACTGATAAAGCAACCATTGGAGCACCAAAATCTTCCCTATGAGGGTGTTCAAGTAAAACTCCTTGATTTTCAGTCTCAGCCTGGAGAAACCTCGGATATTGTGGTGAACTATTTAACAGATATTATCAAAGAACATGATCTTGGCAAGAAATTAGTTTTTTCTACGGTGATAATACAAACTGTAATTTGGGTGGAGATAAAGAAAAGAAGTTAATAACATCTTCAGGAAACTTAATACTGTATTTACTAAGGCAGAGAATTGATTGTAATTGGTTGTTGTGCCCACATTTTACATAATGCCGTGCAGACTGCCTGCGACTGATTGCCAGTTGATGTGGAAACAGTTGTTGTTAAGATAAATTCATATTTATACTTGTATACCGTTAGAGTAGAAGACTTGAAGGACTTCTGCAATTTTGTGGAGACTGAATATAAACAGCTACTGGGGTACTGTACAGTAAAACAAGATGGTTAGCTCTAATGCCTGCTGTTGAGAGAATTCTTAGAATGTTTCCTGGCTGAAAGTGGTATTTTCTCAGTCAAAGGAAGTGTCCTTGTAAGAGTGCGGGTTGCTACTACTTACTGCTGAACCACTGAGGCCACCAATTGCAAGAACGCGCAACACAAGCTGCCACCCTGCGAGGGCTCGGCACTCTTACAACTTACGTTGATACTCTGACCTGGTAGCGTGACGTGAGAGGAAGGCCCATGGGTACATGTAAATATAGTATCGAGTATTAGGGAAAGAACAACGGTGAATACTATAGGTGAATCATAGACCCACATACAAATACACTGTTTATTGAGACACAAAAATGGTTACAGAAAAGATGTTGTATGCACCCAAAATAGGAACTCCTGGTACCACTACTGGGTGTACTCACACCAAAACGCACATAACTCTCACAGCACCTTAGCACCAGTAAACCTGTGGCACCTGCCAGTACAACACTCAATACCCCAGGGGCAACACTCCAGTGGCCGCCAAGGGAGTCTCATTACCAAGTGACACTTTCCAACACTCCGATAATTCCGGTGGACTAACACCACCACACAAATAGCCTTACAGAGCTATGTACTGTACTCATCCACCAATGATGGGGCTGGCAGTGGTTTGTGGGCTTGACGATCCGGGTTCACCACAGGGCATGGCGTCAGGGGGAATACTGGCCAGCTATGGGCCCCATAGGTGGTAGTGGAGCTTCTTACAGTCGGGGTTCACAGGGATACCCGACTCTACTGGACCTCAGACATCTCCCCAGACTAGTGGATGCGTCAACCATGCTACAAACACGTCCTAGGCTGCGATAGGGACCTGTGGGTGGAGGAGCATGGCGCTGACTGACGGTTCATAACGAACCTCCACGTTTCAAAGGGACATTAATGATATAAAATACTTCACTCAAAGCACATTAACTACTTTACTTTAACACTTGCACAAACAAACTACAGTTAGGTCAAATCACTTAAAAATGGCGAATTACAACACGGAGAAGGTGGAGTGACCTACCTGTGGGTGGAGGAGCATGGCGCTCACTGGTTTGAAAAAGCAACCGCCACCTTCCACCCCACTAAAGTCACATATTCCACCTACTCAACCATTTCACTGAAATGCGTTACTGTAACACTCTGACGTTTGAAACTGAGACTACGAACTCAGTTTCATTCCCTACTATTATCTTTACAAACAATGATCTGACTGAGCTATCAAAAGCAAGAATTAAATTGATAACAAAAGGTTGGATGGCAACAGGTCTTGCTGCAACACCCGTGGAGCAGATTTTAAAGTTTCCTTTCCAGGAATATCAACTCATTCCTCAGTTAACCTCCCTACCACAATTTCACTATGATTATCAGAGTCTCTGCTAATCATAGGTGAAAAAAAAGGTTTACAGGTTCTCGGTAGCAGAAAGAATTTACAACTACAGTCAACAAGCATATGACATCTCGATGACGTCATCAAAGAAACAGGGAGAACGGAGGACATTCCCACTGGGAGACTCAGAAGGTTTTGTGGACGTGTAAGCGTAATATGGATCATTAGTTTAACAGGTTAGCCGTCATTACGATCATGACATCCTGTTGTGCTAAAGATTTGACTTTTTTGAGAACCTTTGTGCAGAAGTCTGGCTCAACTTTGTGCATAGTCAGTCAGCCACCCTCCATCAGGTCATCTCAAAGATTGAAGAAGATACAACAGCAGTAGAAGTTATGATCACAATCAATGATCTGTAGCAAAATCTGTAATCCAAGAAAGATAATCTATTTTTGCCACATTCAGTGAGGGTTCGTAGCAAACAAACTTGAAGAAGACGGATTATTTGACTCATCTGCATTGGAGAAAACTGCTACAGATTTTTATGACACATGTGTTCAGTATTTAGGCCAGTGGTCAGGTCACTTGCAAGACTTTAAACATAAGCAGTGGGCCTCATTAAAGCAAATATGGCAAGACATTAAGAAAACAATGGATTTTGCTGCAGAAAAGAAATTCTATGACTCAAAGTTTGATACTGAGTTATATGAGGAGTTTTGCTGTGTTGCAAGTTATATCTCTGAGGAAAAAGTGTCATAGTGGAATGTAGCTAAGTTACTTACAGACCAGCACTGGCGTAGAATTGATCACTCACTCTGAGGACAGATATATTACCCACCAGCACATGTTAAAATTGGTTCAGTTCATTCTGTGTCTTCCTGGAACAAATTCATCTACCCAAAGTGTCTTCTCTCAGCTAAACAAACTGTGGACATTTGAAAAATCACAATTAAAAGTCCCAACCCTCAAAGCAACTCCAGAGATGTTAAAACAAATCTTATCCAGTGAAAAGTACGATCATTAGAAGGTAAGTTGACAAATACCATTGTTATGTACAATTGTTTTGGTTTTGGGTCAAGTATAACTGTGTGGTCAGTGTTGGTGTACGGGTTGTAGGGTTTTGATTTGATGATTTTTGGTATGTCCCGCTTTAGCTCCAACGTATGTCCCGCTTTAGCTCCAACATGTGTCCCGCTTTAGCTCCAACGTGTGTCCCGCTTTAGCTCCAACGTGTGTCCCGCTTTAGCTCCGTGTGTCCCGCTTTAGCTCCAACGTGTGTCCCGCTTTAGCTCCAACGTGTGTCCCGCTTTAGCTCCAACGTGTGTCCCGCTTTAGCTCCAACATATGTCCCGGTTTAGCTCCAACGTATGTCCCGCTTTAGCTCCAACGTATGTCCCGCTTTAGCTCCAACGTATGTCCCGCTTTAGCTCCAACAAATACGATCACTTTAGCCACATCCGCCCTTGTCCATCAGTGAAATTTATCATATATCTATGATGGTTAGTTTTTTATACTATACTAGAAGCATTGCAACATATTTGTGCAGTAATTGCAATTATGTTAATAGTCAACATTGATTTATCCTTAGGGCCTGCTTAGGGCACCCACCTCCTTCTTACGAAAATTTCAGTTATATGTCAGCATTCCCCACGCTTCTTGAATGCAAAATGTGGACAGTCCCCATAGGGAGATCTCAAGCTGAACGATCTTGAATATGGACCTATATTTGACCCGGCTGGATCCAATGCCAGGGTGACTCCACACTACACTGTGTAACAGTGTAGGTTACTCATACACCTTTCTTTTATTCTTTGTCTCTTTGTTTGTGATGGAGCTCTTGGCTTACACTGTGCAAAATCAAACTTGACAGCACTGACATGAAAAACAAAATGAAAATAATTTAAGGTGTTGTGTTGCATCAAATTATGTTAAGTCAGGAGTCTAGTGTACTGTACACTGTGTCCATCTCATAGTCATTCCTTTTCTAACCTTCATCACCACCACCGTCCTGCATCAGCTAGGTAACATCTATATCACCACTTACCCACTTGAGGTGGCCATGTGAAGGGAAGATGGCCAGTGGCCTGTGTAGGATTATTCCATTGCTCTTGATAATTTTGTCTATGTTTATTTTCAAGCCCAGTACTGTTCTTGACTGCACAGCTTGGGCTGGTAGACCGTTCCATAGGTCTACCAGCCTCTGTGTGAAGAGGTATTTCCATATGTTCACTGTGAATGATAACTTGGCCAGCTTGTAGTTATGTCCCCTCGTGTTGGTGGTGCGTGACATCATTAATAAATGTCCCGGGGTTCATGTTTTCCATCACATTCAGGATTTTTAATGTTTCATTGAGATCTGTCCTCTTGTGTCTTCTATGAAAGGTTGTTAGTCCTAAGGCAGTCAGTCTACTTAGATAATGGAGATGACATAGTTCCAGACTCATCTAAGTCTCTCCGTGTTGCACTTTTCTGGTAAGCATTTTAACAGTAAGCATATAATAACTATAAGGATAAATAAAACAATTATATAACTATACTGAACTAACACATAGATCTAAGCCTATAGGAGAACAACATGGGTGAGGTTATAAGATGCAACATGATGTTAGTTAAGAACCTGAGAAGAGAGACCGTGCATCATGGAGAGCTGCCATTAGGTTATTGAGGCTAGTCCATGCAAGTGTGTTTAAATGGCCATGAAATGTTGATGATGATGATGCTGTAATTTTTATTATTACTGTCCACTGTATTCTATTACTGTCCACTGTATTCTATTACTGTCCACTGTATTCTATTATATTTTTATTTATTTGATCTCCTGTGTGAAGATGATCATCATATATACTACAATATTACAATGATTATTGGGCCATTTATTGAAGTTAGATCATTGAAAGGGTAGTTTTGTGGTACAGTACTGTGGTGCTCCTGGTACCTGTCCTGTGTGAATAACATATTTACCGTACAGTGCTATACATGAGGTGGCCTTGACTATAGTATTGCTCTGAATATTTATTTAAATTGTGAGTTAATTTCAGTACAGTTTGTTGGGATAATTAAATGTTTCTGGGTAATTTGAATGATCCAGAGCGTTGATGACATTGGATAAGTGAAGGTTCAATGAGATCAATTTCTTGTTTACTCTGGAGGTTTACTGTTAGTGTTATGCCTACAGATACCCCAAGTCCAACACACCCTTCGCAGTATCCACGGTAGAAATGGGGTGACCAGCCTGACCACTCACGCAAGTTTTGTGTACAGCAGCGGCCGAGACGGGTGCGTGCGATGCTTGACCGTGAAGGACGGCCTCCTCCAGGTCGTCACGGTGTCTAGGGTCAGCGGCGTAAATTGGGTCGCCAAACTATTGTTCATATACGGCAGACCTCTAGCTGTGTGCTTTCATGACGTAAGTACAGCACAGCACAGTGAAGTACAGCACAGCACAGTGAAGTACAGCACAGCATAGCACAGTATAGCACAGCACAGTACAGTACAGTACAGTACAGTACTCTTAACACTCTTTTGTGCTTGTAAATTACAAATAAATACAAGGTAATCATAAAAACCTTGTTCTAGCTACAACACTCTGTTTACATTATACAGTTGTTGGTCTCATATATTAGGATGGTACAGCACAGCGTGGGGTAACACGTTGAAATGTTTTATGCCAGAACCAATACCTAAAAATATTCACAGTAGCCTGGATGATGTTTTATCTGGACATTATTATAGATATTGGGACATTAACGACAGGCACTCATACACCCAGCCACCCACAACTTAGGGTGTTGAGACCAAAGACACAGACAGACAGACACCTCATTCACTTATTATCCCATTTTTTTAGCTGATGTAGCGTGATAAGTTTAGCTGATGTAGTGTGATAAGTTTAGCTGATGTAGTGTGATAAGTTTAGCTGGTGTAGTGTGATAAGTTTAGCTGATATAGTGTGATAAGTTTAGCTGATGTAGTGTGATAGTTTAGCTGATGTAGTGTGATAAGTTTAGCTGATGTAGTGTGATAAGTTTAGCTGGTGTAGTGTGATAAGTTTAGCTGATATAGTGTGATAAGTTTAGCTGGTGTAGTGTGATAAGTTTAGCTGATGTAGTGTGATAAGTTTAGCTGATGTAGTGTGATAGTTTAGCTGATGTAGTGTGATAAGTTTAGCTGATGTAGTGTGATAAGTTTAGCTGATGTAGTGTGATAAGTTTAGCTGATGTAGTGTGATAGTTTTAGCTGATGTAGTGTGATAAGTTTAGCTGATGTAGTGTGATAGTTTTAGCTGATGTAGTGTGATAGTTTTAGCTGATGTAGTGTGATAGTTTTAGCTGAGCTGATAAGTTTAGCGTGATATAGTTTAGCTGATGTAGTGTGATAAGTTTAGCTGATGTAGTGTGATAGTTTTAGCTGATGTAGTGTGATAGTTTTAGCTGATGTAGTGTGATAGTTTTAGCTGATGTAGTGTGATAGTTTTAGCTGATGTAGTGTGATAAGTTTAGCTGACATAGTGTGATAAGTTTAGCTGATGTAGTGTGATAAGTTTAGCTGATGTAGTGTGATAGTTTTAGCTGATGTAGTGTGATAGTTTTAGCTGATGTAGTGTGATAGTTTAGCTGATGTAGTGTGATAAGTTTAGCTGATAGTGTGATAAGTTTAGCTGATGTAGTGTGATAGTTTAGCTGATGTAGTGTGATAGTTTTAGCTGATGTCGTGTGATAGTTTTAGCTGATGTAGTGTGATAAGTTTAGCTGATGTAGTTTAACAGTAAAGTCCCACTAACAATAGTATGATATCATTCTTGAAGGTGAAATTAAAAGTATGGAGTGTGCAAGAGGACAGAAGTGTGGTGGAGGTAGACTGTGGGGGCGGCCACCGCTCCTGGGACCTGAGAGTTTCCGAGGGTGAAGACAAAGTAACTTGTTTGTTCCTGAAAGATGGTAGACCTTATACCTTCCACACTACACTGAAGGATAAGTTGTTACCAGTGATCAAGGTCAGTTTGGTGTTATTCTTTCCATATTTTTTTTTATAAATGTTGTGATAATGAACCTGGTTAGATTACTATGTGTTTAAGGGCCTTAGTTGTTGAAGCACAGTAAGACACAAGAACAACGAGGTCGCTTGTTGTTTGTGATGATTACGTGCACCAGTTGTGTGTTTGCGTGATAAAGTCTTGAGTCTAGATTTTCTCTTTCTGTCATTTGTGAGATTAAATATTGATCAAGTTGTTTATTGTGAGAGTTGTATCTTTGAGATGGTCTCTCAAGAGAACTTCAGTACAGGGGGTCACTTTTTGTAGTGGCTCTGTGGAGGTAGATGGTGGGTGATCTCTGGAACTGGTGATGAATTTTACCGAATTATGGGAGCAGGTTGTGGGTGCTCAGTATGTGTACACTAAGGGATTAGTAGTTTGAAGACTTATTGTATCTTTAGTTGCTTGTTCAATCTTTCATTAGGGGTAGGTTGGCAATACCAACCTCAACAAGGAAGTTTTAAAACGAAATTAGATATATTTTACTTTTTTTTTCAGAGATGAAATCTAGTGGCAACAAAAATATTTAAATTTGAATTACGTAGTAGATGACATGAGCAGCCCCATGATGGAGCCAGGCAGTTTTGGTGAATGGTGACACAGCCTTTGGAGACTTGTTAAAACTAAAAACATTGTTGAGAGGAACTTTACATGTATTTTGGAATCAGGTCATTACTGTTACATAAAGTATAGTAAAGTACTGTAGAGCAAAGGAACATGCTGATGGCTCTCTTTATATGGTTTTCTTATCATAATTATCTGCCACGTATAGTACAGTACTTCATATATTTTCAGACTGCGGTGAACACCCACGAGACCACGTGTGTACAGGTCCTCTTCCTGAGTGGGAGAGAGACAGTGTTTGTAACAGGAGGGGAAGACACCACAGTGAGACTTCATTCTGTCTGGGGCTCAGAGATGCGTAAAGCTCTCAGTGTTATCCGCAGCCACATATCCAGTGTCAGGGCCATTTGTCTAATAGATGGACGAGGAAAAAATAGTGTTAATGGAGATCCCTCTGCGGTGTGGATGGTGTCTGCCGGAGGCCGTGCACAGCTGAAAGTGTGGAAGGTTACTCTTAGTAAATATACAAGTAGGTGTATAGCCCAAAATCTTCTTGTAATTACAGTTCAGAAAGTTTATTTTATAGAATGAAAGTAATGAATAAATATGTTTCAATAACTTGATCACAAAATACACGTTCAAGAAACTTTGATGGACGCCAGGGTGGTGTAGAACGAGTACTTAACTGCAAGCAAAATATTCATATAGATTTTTCTTCTTCAGGGGAACAAGATGTCCCGACTGGCAGTGACATGAAAGCAGTCATGGATAATAACGTGGGGAGACTGGAGGCCACGGACGTTGTGTGCCGAGAGGTCACGTCCCACATGTTACGTACTGGTTCTAACAAAACTTGGAAGAGCCAAGAGCTAACCTTTGATCCGGAGACACGCTACATGGGTGCCGCTGCTTTTTGGGTCACTGAAACTCAAGCTATATTGGCACTGGCATCATCTGATGGACTTTTAAGGTAAATGAGCAGGTTGTTGATAAGTGAGTTCCTAAAGTTTTTCTGGTAACCATGTTTTAGAAGATATTACACTGGGTAGACTCACTTGTACTGTATTTACAGTATAAGTTTGTTAAGAGAAGAAGTTGTCATGTTTGCCTCACTGCACATAGAAGCTGTACTGTGAGTGGTGAAGTTGTTGTTATACTCTCATGTGTTGTGAGCTTCACAACCCTGTGTCCAACATGTGTTGTGAGCTTCACAACCCTGTGTCCAACATGTGTTGTGAGCTTCACAACCCTGTGTCCAACATGTGTTGTGAGCTTCACAACCCTGTGTTCAACATGTGTTGTGAGCTTCACAACCCTGTGTGTTGTGAGCTTCACAACCCTGTGTCCAACATGTGTTGTGAGCTTCACAACCCTGTGTCCAACATGTGTTGTGAGCTTCACAACCCTGTGTCCAACATGTGTTGTGAGCTTCACAACCCTGTGTCAACAACAATGTGTTGTGAGCTTCACAACCCTGTGTCCAACATGTGTTGTGAGCTTCACAACCCTGTGTCCAACATGTGTTGTGAGCTTCACAACCCTGTGTTCAACATGTGTTGTGAGCTTCACAACCCTGTGTCCCAACATGTGTTGTGAGCTTCACAACCCTGTGTTCAACATGTGTTGTGAGCTTCACAACCCTGTGTCCAACATGTGTTGTGAGCTTCACAACCCTGTGTCCAACATGTGTTGTGAGCTTCACAACCCTGTGTTCAACATGTGTTGTGAGCTTCACAACCCTGTGTTCAACATGTGTTGTGAGCTTCACAACCCTGTGTCCAACATGTGTTGTGAGCTTCACAACCCTGTGTTCAACATGTGCTGTGAGCTTCAAAGAAATGCTTACTTGGCATCCTTTTATGAGACAGAAAATAATTAATATTATAATACCTGCATCATGTAGTAAACCCAGGCACCCATTTACAGCTGGGTGAACTGGGAACACCTCCTTGTGTACTGAAGGCTTAGTATACAATGTGTTGTATCCACACTGTCTCTAATGGGCAGTCATGCCTATTTGAGGAGGGGTTTAGTTGAGGGCTCTGTATACTACAGTGAATTTGTTCAGAATAGAGAGGTACTGTACTACTGGAATCTGAGGAGCTGTTCAGTATAGAGGTAATACTGTCCTGTATGTAGTGTCTTACCATTATTCTATAACATGTGATAAGCTTGATAGAATTACAATGTGGGAAATGTTAACTGTGTGTGTGGTAACTGAGAAACTATTGAAAACCGTCCATATTTCTTATAATGAGACACGCACATATGACCAGTACCACAGAGACACATGGGCAACAAGAGACACACACATGTATCACTTTAATGTGTCTTGATGCCAATGTTGTCTATAAACTGTTTTTAGTGTCATACTGAAGCAAATTTATTGACATTAGTTAATAATAAGTTTTGTTTATAGAATATTTCAGTTTGATAGTGAAAGAGAAGTGGTGGAGCTGGTGTGTTGGGAGCAGTGGGATCAGTGTGTCCTGGAGGTGACCACACTCATGGTGCCACACACCTCCATCCTGGTCTCAACAACTACCGCTGGCAGTGTCATCTTCTCTGACATACAGGTTTGTGTTATTTAACTTGTGTACACAACTCCAGAGTGAACTGTGCTCTTAACCCTTAGGCCCAGGGTGACGTTCCAGAACGTCCTTCTATTCCCGCCAATTTTTTTGTTTTTGTTTTTTAATAATTTTTGGAAAAGTAGATTTTTTCTCGATTTATCCCTGTGGGGGGGGGGTGTGTTATTGCCAGCAGCACCCTAACCTGGGGCTTAAGGTTAAATATTGGGACCTTAGAATGGTTATATATATATATATATATATATATATATATATATATATATATATATATATATATATATATATATATATATATATATATATATATATATATATATATATATATATGTATATATATATATATATGCTGTAAACAAGAGTACTATACTGTACTGTATATACATGCTGTAAACAAGTACTGTACTGTATATATATGTTGTGAACAAGAGTACTGTACTGTACTGTGCTGGATATATACAGTACACTGTATGCTGTGAACAAGAGTACTGTACTGGTTACTGTTTGAAGTGTTGTTCTTACAGAATTTTTAAAATTTTATATGGGTGTATAGTAGCTGCCCATACTGTACTGTGTCATTGTGGGCTTTATATTGTTGAACTTTAATATTATTAATAAAGGAACCTGCTATTGAGATGAGGCCCAGCCAACTTTGCTGCTGGGTCAGTGTTATATGTTGGGTAATACTGTAGTGTGCAGAGAATAACTTGTATGGTGAGTGAGATAAACCAAGTGAGTTAGAACAAAGTATAAAACCCAGAGACCTGAAAAAGTGCAGAATATGAACCAACATTCTGGGCCATAATGTGTAGAATAGTGGTTTGTGAGATACTTACTGACATTTTCAGGCTGTAGTTTACTGGATTCACGAGGGTGGTGGTTCAGAGGGCTCGGCCGCACCTCCACCGCTGCAGGTCAGCAGCGTCGCCGCGCACCAGTCGGGAGTCAACTGTATAGCCTTCAACTACCACACTGATGGTACAATGTTACCCAATAAGTACAGTGTTACTATGGCAACAGGAGGTGATGACAACAAACTGAGCATCTGGGAAGTGTTAGTGGACATCTCAGGAGCTCAGCATGTAAACATTTTAATAACTAACATATGTAATGTGTTAGGACATTCTGCACAAATTACAGGTTAGTGACTTTTTCATTAATGTCTTGTAAGAGTAACTTCACACCTGTCATATGATAATTTGTGTTTGCATTTCTTTAATCATATGCAATACTGATTTTTTTATTTCTGCATCATAAAACTGTGGACAGATTTGAGGCAGTACACACACACACTAATGATGCCTTTTTAAACTGTATATTTAACTTGAAATTTTATTATATAAATTTCTATACAATATGATAATTAATAGTCTCCTTAATGCTTCACGTGCAGGTCTTCACTGGCTCTCCCGGGACCTACTGGTGAGCGCCTCTATAGACCAGCGTGTTGTGGTTTGGAAGCTTCAGCACACACACAAGAGCAGCAACGAACATCATGCAGGAAACACAACAGAACTGGATAAGCCAAGTCTGTCCACACTACAACCAGTATGTTCACGCTTCACAGGAGTACCAGATGTTAAGGGTATTGCTGTGGTCGAGAGAGACGTCACAGTTAGCCATACGAGGAGGAGGAGGATCATCGTGTATGGTATGGGTCTCCAAGTGTTTGAGTTACACCTTGATGATGATTAATGACACACAGTATTACATGATACAGGTATACACATTGATGCATACTTAAAGTTTACAGAGATACATGACGCAGCTACAGTAAAACCTCGATAAATCGAATTTCAATATACTGTATTGGAATTCGCTTTTTTCTGACTCTGAGATGCTCTGGTCACCACAAAAAAAAAATTAAGAAATGGGGAAGGTTAAAAAAATTATTCAATCAACAACACTTGCTCAATGAATAGTGTACAGTGGTTTAATTAGATTAGCTATAGGCCTACTGAGAACTAAGACACTGTAAGCAGGCTGGGGCTGATCAGGTGTTATCACATTCATCAGGTTTATTTATTTTTTGATTCAGTAATATATTCTCATATGATTGGCCTCTTATGGTTTCTCATGATTAATATAACAGCTTCAGTAATAAAGAAAAAATACAATACTGTATGTAATTTGTAATATGACTAGAAAATAAAAGGGTAAGCTGTATTGGAAGGTCTTCACTCAGGATGTGTTCGTGTGAGAGCTTTAGGCAAATAAGCTTACAACAGGGGTTACTATAACACACTTCCTTTGAGTGTTATATGATGACTCAGTTTGTCTACTTGTTCACTGAGATAAATGATTAATGAATAAACCAGGGTATATGCAGATGCATAGTACTTTACAAAACAATATTACTTATTAAGTGATGATAAATACACAACTTTACTGTACTAATTTACTAAGTGTTAAAGACAGATATTGTGGTAAGCCAATCAGATGTTTGGGCCAAACAGTTTGGCCTCTGTACCTATAGTTTTTTTTTTTTTTATCCTCTTCGCCACTGATTGGCTCGTTGGCCACTTGAGCAATCGGTCACTTCTCTGTCTGCACTGTTGGCAGGTACAGTACTGGGCATGGACCGGCTCCTGAATCAAGCTACTAAAACACATAGATGGACCTCCCCCTCAAGCTGGCACTCAAACAAAGTTACTACAGGATACAATATTACTATATTTATGATGGTTCACATAGAGTATTGAAGTTGATGAACTAAAGAGAAAAACATTATTTTATAGCTACAAGAGTTCTAGGTGTGGTGATGATGGCTGTTGGTAAGGCAGCCATGGACTCCTGCAGGTTTACAATATTGAAGTATTAGTCTCCTGTTTGTGTCTTTGAAGCAACACACACACACACACACACACACACACAGACACACACACACACACTAAGCTGCAAAATACTATGAAAACTGTGCCTTAAATATTATGTCACTCAATTCATATCAAATAATATTTATAGCTAATTATTTTTGTAATTAAAATTCTGTAATGAAGGTGATGTGATGATGATAAATAATAATAATAAAAAATACACTTATCTCAAGACTGTGAATGACCTGCCATTGTCTGAGATACATCTGTGTTTCAGAGACTCATTAGTGAGAACAAATAGTACAGTTTACAGTACTCTTGATTTAACAGAATCCGATATAACAAACTCTCGTTTTAATGGAAGGGGTTTGTTGTTTATTTTAATTTTTTCTATAAATTCCACTTTTTTCAAATTGATAGCCACACGCTTTTCACTTTCTCCCCCACACCGCTTCCTTTGAGATGTCAGAAAGACTTTCAGCATGATGTCTAAGCTCAGTAGTTAGTTGACTGAGAGGTAGCAGTGAACAACACATGCGGTGGTGGCAGCACACAGACTGAGTGGATGTAAGCAAACCTCATGTGCCAAGTGGCACATTGGTGCTGAATTTAACAGAATCATGCTTAATTTAGCAGAAATTTTGGTTTAACGGAAAGGGGCGGCTCAAATTAGTTTGTTAAATCGAGAAAATACTGTGTATACTGTACTAGGTCAGGATAATGAAGATACTCCCTGACAGAGCTGCCTTGTTCAGGGGGCTATATGCACTCTGAGGGTGGGACACTGTACAGTACGTTCAAAAGATACAATCAGCTTAACACCCACACAAACCAAAGTTATAAAGTAATGTCTAACTGTGATCTGATAGTCACTGAGTCAACAGATACACTAGGTTGAAGTGAATTAGTTTGCTGGACAAGAGTTTCTGACACAAACTTGGGCATCATTGAACAAAGCTCATGTTTTCCTGTAAACTCCTTGTGTACGGTGTCCCCTCTTGTGTTGAACAAAATCGTCCATCATTAACCAAATAAAATATCAAAAGTGGTGTCCCAGTAGTGAAGGGATTAAGGGGCCTGGGAGTCCAAAAGGGAAGAGGAAGATATTTCAAGTCACTTGACTTACATTTGGCCATAACATAGGGCTTTATAATTCAACCCTTTGTTTTATGGCCAACAGAGGTTCACAAAGTGACTGGCAAGATTCCTAACCTGCTAAGGAACTTGAATAAGTAATTGTCTAGGAACCAATATAAAGCAGCCGAGCCAGGAAGTACTCACTCGCCTCAGAGAATTGACTACTGTACAGTAAACGGTGTTTACTTGATAACACCAACGGTCTGCTGTAAGAGTCATCATCCATCTGGTCCATCTCTGAGTTCACCATAAAAATTACCCAGAAAAAGACAAACTGAACAGTAATTTGATGTACTGTAAAAGTGATCTTCCCTTGGGATAAAGAGTTACTGAGGCATCTGATGTAAAAGTTCTGGTAAGTTATGTTGACTAGAAAGAATGAATGAGGTACAAGACTTACAAAAGAGATCAAATTCAAGAGTTATTTGGCAGAAAAGCAACTAAAAGGCTGTGGTACAAACATCTTCTTTGTGTGATAATATAAACTAGAAATCCGCATCTTGTCAACCTTCAGTATGACTGCCATAATAAACTGTCTCCACTCACCAGTAAATCTATCAACCGAGGTGTCATCCCTGTGTCTGAGGGTTGTCAACCACAGTCCTCCACCCAAACTTTTTCAAGCTGTATTTATACATTCTTCCAGATTTTAATTTCACTCATCGACCCAGTCTCTACCTCCTCCTGACCTGAAACAGTTTCCCCGTACCTACACCAGCCATCTTGGGGTTCATCATTACCATCATGTACAGCCAGCAAAAAATTATCCTGCCACTTTCCGCACTTTTTATTCTGGAACACGGGATGAAATGTTCAGAAAAACCCGGGTACTGTATGCCAACCCAACACATACCATGCGTGGCTGAGGCATTTCCTCATTCCCAGTTCCAACGGACCCCCTGGGGTGTGATAATTTTTTGCTGACTGTAGTTACATCAATTCAATTTACAAATAAGATTTAGGTAGTTTTTTCATATAATGTATAATAGTACCCTGAGAGATTGGAGCGCCTGAACTTGCCTAGCTTATATTACAGACGGGCAAGGGGTGACCTAATTGAGGTGTACTGTATAAGCATTTCAAGGGGCACTACTCAGTCGAGTGTCCTTACTTGGAGCTGGTGGACGCTCGCCCCACAGGGGGTAACAGCTCAAGATTGAAGAAGCCGCAAGTCCAGAAAACTATGAGGGCAAACTTATTTGGAGTGAGAGTTGTGAACTCTTGGGACAATCTATCAGAAAGTGTTGTGACGGCACCGAGTGTGAGCTCTTTCAAGACAAGACTTGACCAACACTGGAGCGGGTTCAGGTACATTCAGGAGCCGGTGCATGCCCAGTACTTGCCAACAGTGCGTAACAGAGACGTGGCCGATTGCCCAAGAGGCTAACGAGCCGATCAGTGGTGAAGAGGATAAAAGTAAGTAAAAGTAATAATAAAAAAAATGTAAAACTAATAATATCACTAAGGAACCATAAATGAAAATTTCCTAAAAAGGTAAATGTAAATGTGCAACATAAATTTTTATTATTTCATAAACATTAATAACATACAAGAAAACACTGATAAATATGTAAACAGAAATTATGAGTAAAAAATAAAACAAAAAAACATAGAAAAATATGTAATATTAAATAATAATCTGTGAGCTCACCACCACTGTACAGCGTAAACAAACACAAGACGGGAGCTGTGATGTCATAAGAGGGGTATGGGTTATATGCTAAACTGAATCTAATAATATTACTGAATATTGAATTTATTAAGCTGTCATGTGATCGCAATTATCTTCTTCAAATTTCAGAACAACTACACAATACCCTCATTAATTAGACTCTTCACCACTGATTGGCTCGTTGGCCGCTTGGTCATGTCTCTGTTACGCACTGTTGGCAAGTACTGGGCATGCACCGGCTCCTGAATGTACCTGAACCTGCTCCAGTGTTGGAGCAACCATTTCACGTGACCTAGGCTTCTCGTACTGCTCGACCATATCTACTATTCTGAAGGACAAGGAACGTATTCGTGAGGTAGTGAAAGGATCAGCACCTATAAAGGGAACTATAATAACGAAGAAAAGACTAGGTCCTCTTCATGAGATGGAAAAATTACTTGTGACATGGATGGAAGACCAGATACAAAAGCCTTCAAACCCTACAGGCTAAGGCAAGAAGCCTTTTCGAAAGCCTGAAGGAGCAGGCATGAGATGAGTGCGACCAAACCTTCACAGCAAGTCATGGGTGGTTTAACAGATTTAAGAACCGCTACAGTTTACATAATGTTAAGGTGAGTGGAGAGGCAGCTAGTGCTGATGTTGGTGCTGCCAAAGCTTTTAAGGAGGAGCTAGATCGTGTCATCGTGGAGGGAAATTATTTGCCTGAGCAAATATTCAATGTGGATGAAACTGGATTATTATGGAAGCGCATGCCTGAACGGACATAAATCCACAAAGTGGCGAAAACAATGCCAGGATTCAAGGCATTCAAGTATGAGGGCCTGTGCTGCCACCATTTATGAGGGCCTGGACTGCCACCATTTATGAGGGCCACTACTGCCACCATTTATGAGGGCCTCTGTGTGCCAGTAACAATCCCTTGTACTCTCATACTTATTACCATTGGTAGCGTGACGAGAGGAGGCTCGTGGGTAGATGTAATGATAGTATCAAGCAATAGGGAAGAAATAACGGTAAATACTGTAGGTAAATAATAGACACAATTATACAAATACAAAATTTATTTAAACATGAATATGAAATTAGGAGAAAGAATTTATTTGTACCAACAGACGAAATCTAGTACTAGGCCCTCAGGCTCAACATACTCACACCACTACTGGGTGGACATACTCAATAACACTTCCAACCCTATTGGGTGGACATACTCAATAACACACAACTCTTATAGTCACTTAGCACCATAAAGACCAGGGCAACTGCCACTACAACACTCAGTCGTCAGGGGTGATACTCAAGCAACAGCCATGGGGTCCAGCCACCATGGAGTACTTTCCGACGAACTCTGAAGATCCCAGTGGATTAATTCCACCACACAAATAGCCCTACTGAGTTAGACACTCATCCACCAATGATGGGGGCTGGTAGTGGTGTGTGGCTTGGTGATCCGGGGTCACCTCGCAGGCCGAGCGTTAGGGCCAGACGAGCCAGCTATGGGGGCTATAGGTAGTCTGAAGTGTCTGACGGCCGGGTCTCACGAAGGTAACTGATCCTACTGGACCTCGGACATCTCCCCAGACATAGTGGATACAACATCCACGCTACAGACACGGCCTAGGCTGCGTTAGGGACCTGTATGGATGAAGGGACGGGCACTCACTAACGGTAACAACAACATCACGTTTCAGGGGACGTTAAAGACGTAAATATGACTTCACTCAGAGCATATCAACTACGTTACTGTAACACTTGCACAATCAACTATTAATTGGGTCAAATCACTTAAAGAAGGGCGAATTACAACACAGAGTGGAATGGCATACCTGTATGGATGAAGGGACGGGCACTCACTAACGGTAGAAATGCCCGCGGGCCCTCACTGAAAACAGACCAGGGAGCCCACCTACTTCTATTCCGATGAATTAATTTACTGTACACTCTGACGTTGAAACTGAGACTATGAACTCATTTTCATTCCCTACTATTATCTTCACTAACAATGCTCTGACTCAGCTATCAAAAGCAAAATTAAATTGATTACAAAGGGTTGGATGGCAACAGGTCCCAGCATACAGCGTCTGCTACTAAATCCGTGGATTATATTCAAAGTTCCCACTAAACAAAGACGGGGAAACAGAGAAAACGGGGGACGTTTCCACTGGGGGACTCAGAAGGTTTTGTGGACGTTTGAGCGTAATATGAATCCTTAAGGTTTTCAGGTTAGCCATTATCACGATCATGACACAAGGACCGAATTACACTTCTGTTGGGGACGAATATAGCTGGTTTCAAGATAAAGCCCTTCATGATCTATCATTCAGAGAACCCAAGGGCTATTAAACATGTCAGCAAGCACACACTGCCAGTGTTTTATCGAAGTGACAAGAAAGCCTGGATGACCCTAGTACTGTTTGAGGATTGGTTCATGACTTGTTTCATTCCTCGAGCCAAGGAGTATTGTTCTGCAACAAGGGATTGCATTCAAGATTTTGTTAATTTTGGATAATGCTCTGGGACACCCACCACACCTGGACGACATGCACCCTGATGTAAAGGTAGTCTACATTCCACCTAACACTACCTCTATCATCCAACCCATGGATCAAGGTGCTATTGCAGCTTTTAAAGCTAATTATTTATGTGCGACCTTTGCTCAGGCTGTTGCTGCTACTGAAGATGAGAAAACGCTCAGAGATTTTTGGAAGGACTACAACATTTTGAAATGTATAAAGAACATTAGTGCAGCATGGGATGAGGTTACAGGACAGTGCGTGAATGGAATATGGAAGAAAGTCCTGAAAAGATATGTGAACAATTTCAAAGGATTTAATGAAGATGAAGTAATTTCTGAGATTAGTAACAAGATAGTGGAGTTGGGTAAACAGCTTGAGTTAGAAATTGATAATGAAGATGTTGAACAGTTGGTTGAAAGTGTAGCAGAAGAGCTCAGTAACGAGGATCATATCGAACTGGAAGCACAGAAAAATGCAGAGGAAGAAGAGAGTAAATGTAGAAGAACCTGCACTAAAGACCATTCCGACTTACGACCTGGATTTGGGTCCCTAACCCCGTCGTAAGTCGGGGAGTAGCTGTATTTGCTCACCAGAGGCGCCAGCGTAACTGCTCACTCATGCATTCACGCTCCCCCGCTCAGTCTTTCTGAGTGAGTCTGTTGTTCTCGGGATGGCGCGTCAGCTGCTGAGTCTGGTGCAGATTCCACTTTCTAAGGCAAGTGTAAATGGGTTGCTAGTGATGTGAAAAGTGAAGTGAAGATAATGGAAAGCTTAATGGAAAAGATTTAATACTGTAACTAATATTTTTGGTGTTCGTTTATGTAGGTGTGGGATTGTCAAGTGAGGGCGACAGTGTGGCATCTACTGCCGAGTCTGGTGTTCCTTAATATTGATATTGAAATAGCCTGTTGCTCCCGAGTCTAGTGTTCATTGGTTCTTTAGTTAGTAAGAAAATGAACTCGTTAAGTCAAGTTTAGTCACTTTTTTTGGCCTTCAGAACCTAACCCTATTTTTCCCATTGATTACATGTAATTACAGTATTACCCCCCTTTACGCTTTTTTTTATGCGTTTCCACGTTCACGCGGTACCCTGCCAGACCCGGAATGCTCACTTTACGAGGTGAGTGTACTCTTTTACGTGGAGAGCAGCGCGGGCAGGGTGCGCACAAGATTGCCCAGTCATCAAAACATTACCGAGTTCTTCACCCGCCACCTACCACAGCCGGCCCAAGTCAGTGATAGTGAGGATATGGACTTATATGGACTTTGAGGGGTTTGACAAAGAGGCCCTGCAAGCCTCTGTGGTGGATAGTGATACAATTGATACAAGTGATACAGGTGAGGGCCAATAATCTGCCCTCTGCCTCGGAACCAACCCCCCCATCCCCGTGTGCCCAGCCATCTCTTCTACTAACGTGTGTTAAAAAACCTAATATTATTGATATTTCTCTTAATTATTAATTGTGTGTGCATACCATCATAAAATTAAGAAGTTATTTTTACTACAATGTACGTATTGTGTCTGAAAAAGTGGAGTTTGGGGGTCAGCCCGGTCTCTATTTCAATTAATCCCATATGTTATGTTGTTCACTTTACGCGTTTCTCGCTTTACACGGGCCTCCGCGGGTTCAATTGACCGCATAAAGCGAGGGTTCACTGTATACATCATGATTTAGTATACAGGTGCTCCTCTACTTATGAACGAGTTACGTTCCTGAGGCTTGTTTGTAAGTTCAACTTTACTCTTGTAGGTACCAAACATATTGTAAAAAATTAAAAGATTATGGATATTTAGTACAGCTATACCCTTTAATACAGCCTTACAACCTGGCTCACTCTTCTCCTCTTAGGTAATGTTTGTTCTATCTGGAATTTTCTTCAAAATAATCCAGTCTCATCCACATTAAACACCTGTTCTGGCAGGTAACCCCCCTCAGTGATGATGTTTGTATCTCTGAAAGTTTGTAAGCTGAACGTTCTTAAGTAGAGGAGCACCTGTATAGTGAAGCCTCCGATAACGATGGTTCAACTAACGAGGATTCATATCTAAGACCCTGGTTAATTTAGGACCCAATTCAATTTACGCCATTATTTTCTTCGTATTCACGACATAATTAAAAAATATTACATTTTCATATAAATAATATCTAAATCCCAATATTAAAAAAACAAAAACACACTTTGCGCACGGAGGCTGTGGGCTTGTTAGTGGTGACGCCAACATCACTAGTATAAACAATCGCAGCTGGCGAGCCCTTTGTTTTCACACGAATCTGAACTTTCTCAGGTTTCTAACAGCATTTTTGCATCCCTATTCAACATGAGCAAGAGAGCAAGTGATGGCAGTGTTTTTCAAAAGCCTAGCCAAGAAACTAGATGTGTTAAAACGATATGAAAAAGGTGAGAGGTCTGTGGATATTACATGGAGCAAGCAATGAACATATTTTCTGCAGTGGATCCATTAACAGAACAAAGCATTAAAATTTAAATAAACACAAATGACCTCAACATAAAGATGTACTGTATAATGAGAAAAGAAAGCAGCTGTGCAAGGTTCTTTCGACAGCTTTATTATTCGCAGGCCTAAACATGCAACTTTAGCTACACCATCAAATTCAGCATCATAAGCAACTTCAACAACAACTTCAGGTTCAGTAACAGCTTTATGGAAAGCTACAGCTTCAGCCAGAGTTGAACCTGATGACTCCGTCATCTGAGTAAAAACTCGCACAACATCATTGGCTGTTCTCATGTTTTAGACTTTACCACCATTGGTGAGTAGAATTTTTGTTTTACATTTGTAAATATTATTTAAAATATATATGAACAGTAAGTAAGTAAGTGTTGCTTTCATATTCATATGCTGAGAATTGACGATATAATAATAATAATAATTAACGGTTTATTGAAAAGTTCTGAGTCTTAAGGCTGAAAAAATAAATATACATTGGACATAAATGACTTATTACATACAAAAGCCTTCTATTAGAGAAAGGTAAAGGACATACAGATTAATGTAGGTGTTGAAAAGCAAACTCGTAGTGTAGTAACTCCTCCCAGATGGTGTTAGGAGGAACTCACGTGGCCTCAGATCAGTGGTGAGGGGCCTCACGTAGTAGTAATTCTAGCAGATGGTGTTATGAGGGTTCAATGGTGTATATGTTTTCACATATAATGACTCATTGTCATAGGCGTTCCCAATTGTCTCGCTTTATTTCTTTACCATTAGTGGTTACCTACTTCTATTGTTCCATTTATTAACATTAAATAACATTACTTAAAACATACATATGTACAGGTATTCGTTTTTTTTTACATTAAGTTTACTACAGCTACAACCAGGGTCTTATTTTCTTCAGTTTCTTATGTAGAATCATCGTCACTCACGAAAACAATGCCGTCTTGCCTCTTGTGCGTTTTAATATTCATTGTGTTATTAATGAATTGCGTTGTTCATTTCACACATATAAACATTAATTCAATCAAATACATATTCAGTAATAAACAATAATGAATCTTTTGTACATACAGCTACTCCCAGACTTACGACCACTCGGACATACAACCGCCTCAGTCGTACCAAAATTTTGTCAAATTACGTATTTTCGAGTCCCAATGTCAGTGATTGCGCTGTGTACTGACACAATTTTCGTTTGTAATTCACTTTAAAATGGCTGGCAAGCTTAAAAGTGAGAGTTTTGTGGTGCTGAGAAGAAAAAGAGACCCATTTTAGATTTTCTATGTATTATTTGAGCACTTTCGACTTATGACCTGGATTTGGATGCCTAACCCCGTCCTAAGTCGGGGAGCAACTGTATTCTTAAAAAGATAAATGACGTGGTATCCTTAAATGCACAAGTATATGTTGGCATTCCCAATCCATCTCACTTTTTTTTCTTTACCATTAGTGGTTAGCTACTTCTATTGTTCCATTTATTAACATTAAATAACATTACTTAAAACATATACTGTATATTCATTTGTTTACGTTAATTTTACTAAGGCTACAACCAGGGTCTTATTTTCTTAATTTTCTCGTGTAGAACTATTGTCCCGGACTCCCGGCTGTAAACATTAACGAAAACAATGGCATCCCATCTCCTCTTGTGTGACCATTTATTGTATAAGGTGCATTCAGAAACATTATTTAAAGAATATAGTTTGCAATTTTCATAATTGTATTGTTTTGGGGGAAAAGAGGGTAAAAAGCCACACAAAAGATATGAAAAGGTCACACTTGGGAACGCATCTCATTATTATAGCTTTATTTTAATTGTAATTAATGATTTATGATAAGATGATTCACCTTACACTGCAATATTGGAGGACACATTACCGTCGTTATTTGAGGCTTTACTGTATAGCGAACATCGTTGGACCCTATCTCATGATATATCCCGACCCTACTGAAGTATCCTTAAGGCTCTTCAAAACTCCATCAATACTTAAGATTTTTGCTGTCATCTTAAGTAGTACCTCCTGCCTTCTCTCAGGATAACAGATTCTAAAAGCCTTCAAAATCTGCCATATGGACTGAAACATAACACACTCTCAGGGACTAAAGGATATATAAACACAAAACAAGACAGGATAATAAAATGACAAAATTCTAAAAAGTATATATTGAAAATTTATCTCTAAGACTGATCACAGATGGAAGTACACACACATACGACTTAGGCCTGGCACTTATGTTAACCCTATCGCTGCGTTTCCCGCACTTGCTATTTTATTCTGGCTACCACCACGATGATTTTATTCAGCTTAGGGTAACCTTCCACAGCCAAAGGGTTAAGCTTCCTGTTATTTGTATGATATAAATACAGTATACTACAATGGACAGTGTATATTTATGAATAAGTCTGCTGCAATAATTTACTTGTACTTTATACAATTAAGTACTGTATTTTGAAATCAACTACTGTACTGTATACCCAATGACATTATCTTGTTACCCAGAAGAGTAACCTCCCAGATGATCACCTAAGAGAGTGAGTGAAAAGTTGCTCAGATAACAATGAAGACAGCATGACTTTAAGGTCTCTAAGTAGAGATCTTGAACTGAGGTAGCAAGTGATACCAACTTTTGTAAGAACCAACTATAACTACCATAATCTACTTATTAACAGCCAAAAAATATAAATTATGTTAAAATGGTTTTCAAATAAGTTAAAATGGAAATGACTCTTATTGTGTAAATCTGAGGATGGCTGAAGATGAATAACAGCTTGGTGGTCAATAATGTGTTGAGTAACTACCTGAACATCACTTATTAATGACAAGACTAACATGTAGAACAGTAGTTATATGATCACTAATCCTTGGCAACACTATCATATTCAACATTACACAGTAACAAGTTGCAAGGATCAACACAAAGGTTCACACTACCTGGGTTCACAATGTCTGGTAAGTACAATATATAATGTAGAAAATATTATGTTGTGGCTAGTCTCTGGTATTAAAGACATCAGTGTGTTACGCCTTCATCTACAATTTTCTTTACAATAATAAATACTGTACCTGCATTGTCACCCCCCGACAGGCTGTGATGCCCTGAACAAAACACACCTTGTCCTCTTGAGAGCCAGTCCTGGTAAGGTTGTCGTGACCTCTTCACGAGCATGCAGGCCAGGGTATCACAGCTTAAGATTTACTGTCACATCTTGGAAGCTTTACATCCCAACACCTTCATTCCAAGGCACCCTCCAAGAATGCCAGGGCCTCGATGGCTTCAATGCTGTTATCAACGTCTCTTCTGGACACAGTTTTCTTGCGAGAATGAACAGTGTATTGGTAGGACTCCTGCACCAGACTCTCCACAAAAAGTTCCTGAAATACAAAAATTCATAGTAGTTTCATCATCTCCTGAAGCTGCTACGCTGACTTACTCACCTCACTCTTCAGGGAACATTATAAAGTACAGTATAGTCTCGATTCACGCGGCACCTTGCCAGACCGACAATTTTTATTTACACGGTTCATTCCACCATTTACGCGGGAAGCAGCGCAGGCAGGGTGCGCACAAGGTCGCCCAGTCAACAAAACATTACCGAGTTCTTCACCCGCCACCCACCACAGCCGGCCCAAGTCAGTGATAGTGAGGATATGGACTTTGAGGGGTTTGACAAAGAGGCCCTGCAAGCCTCTGTGGTGGATAGTGAAACAGGTGAGGGCCAATAATCTGCCCTCTGCCTCGGAACCAACCCCCCATCCCCGTGTGCCCAGCCATCTTTGCTACTAATGTAAGTGTTAAAAAACCTAATATTATTGACATTTCTCTTAATTATTTATTGTGTGTGCATACCATCATAAAATTAGGATGTTCTTTTTGCTACAATGTACAGTATTGTGTCGGAAAAAGTGTAGTTTGGGAGTCGGCCCAGTCTCTATTTCAATTAATTCCATATGTTCTGTTATTTCATTTACTCGTTTTACGCGGACCTCCACGGGTTCAATTGACCGCTTAAATGAAGACTATACTGTACATAAGTAAAATGCATTTTAGGTATTCCCAGGAATATTTTACAGGAACACACAGTGTTAAGGGGTGAACTTAGCCTCCGGCCCACCTGTCCGTCCACCCAGGCAGGATAGTTTCATGCAACGGTGGTAAACACTTCACACTGCCGGCCAACTGACTCTCTTATTGATGTTGTAGTTTGTGTAAATGTTAAAAACGGATATTTTAAAAATAAACTCTACTTAACACTTGTGGTTATGAAGAACAGACCTATAACTAAACCACACCTTCCTACCTACCTTACCTTACCTTACCTAACCTAACCTAACCTAACCTAACCTAACCTAACCTAACCTAACCTAACCTAACCTAACCTAACTTCCCCGGTATATTAAACAGAAAGAACTTACTTCAAGGGGCTCCTGTCATAAAGAAATAATTTACCACAGTTTCTATTAAATGCAAAAACTACTAATTCACGCAAAAATGAAGGTCAGAATTTAGTAAAAACTAATATAAAAAAAACTATTCACATTCCAAAACCTGATGACAGCCAATGGACGAATATTTACCGGAATAAAAGACAAAAATGGTAAAATATAGTTAAGGTGTACATGATAAAACAGATGTTACATCTTAGGGGTGAGACTCACGGTGGCCCGGGCGACGAGGTACACGGCGTCCTGGCTGGCCAAGTTCAGGTCTGGGTCACACTTCATGATCCTCTTGACCCTGGCCAAGGGTAACCTTAGTCCTGACCCTCTCTCCTCCTCCTCCACAGCTCCGTCTTCACCAACACCGTTATGACTCCACTCACCTCCCGCCATTAAGACAAAATGGCCGATGTTACTAATTAACCCGAAACAAAAAATTTGACCTATTATGTTTTTATATATATATATAGATATGCTGATAACCACAAGGAAAGAAGAAAACACGAAGTTCCCAAGTGCTTTCGTGTAATTCACATCTTCAGGGGTGAGTACAGACTAGAGAGAGAAATACAAATCAAGGTGTATATATACAGAGGAGGGTGAGACCAGGTCCACCATGGTGGACCTGAATCTCCCCTTTCACCTTGCACCTACAATGATTTACTTGCATATATATATATATATATATATTATATAATCTGACGTTTATAAAAAGAATATTAATTTATAGTCTTTAGGCGTTTTATTTATTAAGTTATTTCTTGTATTTTTGGTTTTGTTCTTTGAAAAATTAATAGGTACTTGATTGTGTTCGTGGTAAGGCTTAACATTAACCAAACACTGGCTGCTGGTTGGGGTTAAATACGGCTCAGGTAATATTGTAAACAGGTAATATTGTAAACTAAATTTTATATAAATATTAACCTTACTTTTGCCAAAAATATTAAGATATTACAATAATATTATACTTAAATTATTTTTTATTATATTTATTATAATTTATGAGCTATTTTATATTGATATATATTTTATGGCTTTATGTAATATGGAGCTTAAAAGAATTTCTTTCCAAGGATAATTGTTCATATTTTTTAATATAATGTACAATATATTTATTTTGATGCTATTTTAACCAAATAGAGTAAAAGTTATAATTATAAAAGTCCAAGGTAGCCGTTATCGACCTTACGCATACTGTTGCAGCATACAACATGATATAACAACGAGCTCTGGATTATTTTCTATTATTTACTTTCATTTTTACTTTTATGGTCTTTGTCACTGATCGACTCGTGAGCCGCTTGGACGGTCGGTCACGTCTCTGTTATACACTGTTTGTTGACAAGTACTGGGCATGAACTGAAATTGTCTGTACCTATCGACAATATTTACCTAGATGTTGCCAAGGATTTCGACAGTGTACCCCACGAGAGGCTGAAAATCAAACTGGAAGGGTACGGAATTCGGGGAAATGTCCTAGCGTGGATAGAAGACTTTCTACATGACCGCAAGCAGTTTGTGGTGATTAATGGTACGAAATCGTCATCCGTACCTGTCACAAGTGGGGTACCACAGGGCAGTGTATTGGGCCCGCTGTTGTTTGTTTGTTTCATAAATGACATGCCTGACGTTGTACACTCCTCCATACAAATGTTTGCCGATGACGCCAAGTTATTTCGGGAAATTAAGAACCAAGCGGACTGTGAAGAGCTGCAGAAAGACCTCTGTGGGCTCCAGGAATGGCCGAAGAAATGGCTGCTGAGATTCAATGTCACGAAGTGTAAGAGGATGCACCTGGGGCATTACCAGCAGTCAGGAGGCGTATATATGTCCCAACAGGATGAAAACTGCACCTAGTTGAGACTGTGTGAGAAGGACCTAGGTGTGTATGTTGACGTGAGCTGGGATTTCTCTGTTGCATTTGTGAGAGAAGATGAAATGGGCAAATAAATTATTGGGTCTTATAAGAAGGTCGTTCAGATATCTAGACGGTCCGACCCTCCTTGATCTTCAGGGTAAGTGCTTCCCCCATCTGGAGTACATGCCCCATCTGGTCCCCGAGATACTAAAGGGACTGTCAGTTGGTTGAAAATGTTCAAAGGAGGGCCACCAGACTGGTGCCTGCACTTCGGCACCTCAGCTACCCTGAGAGATTGGAGCGCCTGAACTTGCCTAGCTTATACTACAAACGGGCAAAGGGGGGACCTAGTTGAGGTGTATAAGCATCTCAAGGGGCACTACTCAGTTGAGTGTCCTTACTTGGAGCTGGCGGATGCTCGCCCCACAAGGGGTCACAGCTCAAGATTGAAGAAGCCACAAGTCCAGAAAACCGTGAGGGCAAACTTTTTCGGAGTGAGGGTTGTTAACTCTTGGAACAATCTACCAGAGAGTGTTGTGAGGCAACTCCACGATGGCATGAACGGCAGTGTCCTGCACAATGGCACCCTGTCTGAGTTCTTCTCCATCCAAACAGGGGTTAAACAAGGGTGAGTACTGGCACCAATTATCTTTTCCATCTTCTTGGCTGCCTTCCTTACTCGTGTCAGTGCCAATTTAGCCGGCGGGGTGGACATCGAGTACCGGGTGAAGGGGGGTCTTTTCAACATAAGACGACTCCAGGCAAGAACAAAAGGCCTTTTCCAGGTATCTCGGCTCCCACTTGTCCACCACCGCAGACATCGATGAAGAGATTCAGCACCGGATCAGATTTGCATCTCAAGCCTTTGGCGGACTCCTAAACCGTGTCTTCAACTGTAGGGAGCTGAAATTATCTACAAAGCTGCATGTATATCTAGCAGTGGTCCTCCCCACCCTGCTATATGGCAGCGAGACATAGGAAGCACCTCAAGGCACTTGAAAACTTTCACCAACGTAATCTACGTTCCATCCTCTGAGTTCGCTGGGAAGGCAAGGGAACAAATGCCAGTATTCTTGCTGACACCAACTGTAGGAGCAGCGAGGCGACCATTATCCATGAACAACTACTCTGGACTGGCCCTGTTAACCGCATGGACAACAGTAGACTGCCAAAGCAGCTACTTTACAGTAAACGTAACGCTGGCGGGCAATTAAAAAATTATAAGGATAGTCTTAAGACAAACCTGAAAAAGTGCCAAATCGACCCCCTCACCTGGGAGTCGATTACTGTACATCGTAACGCTTGGAGGAGCACCACACGAGAAGGTGTCAATACTTTCGAGTTAGCCCGACTGCAGACAAGCGCCAACGCCGGAAAGACGCTGCCACCGCCCCTCCCGCACTAGATGCAGCCCTCCACATGTGCAACGAATGTGGACGACTCTGCCGGTCCCGTATCGGTCTCTTTAGTCACCTCAAAACTCACCAACCTAGGTGTACATCCTTAACACCTCATATCATTGTATCATAGCTGGATGATCGTCATACTCGATTCCGAGTGACAGTAAAGTAGTAGTAGTAGTAGTGTGTGTGTGTGTGTGTGTGTGTGTGTGTGTGTGTGTGTGTGTGTGTGTGTGTGTGTGTGTGTGTGTGTGTGTGAATGCATATGTGCATGTGTGAATGCACGTGTGTGTGTGTGTTCTCTCCCTTCACAGCTGCGTCTCTTAACACTTGTGTATTTCAACACCTGCGTCCTCCACCTCTCTCTCTCTCTCTCTCTCTCTCTCTCTCTCTCTCTGTCGTGTTAGTATAAAATATATAAATTTGTGGACAAAAACAAGACAAAAAAAAGCCCTATAATTGAATACTGTTTTCATACCCTTTCATCGAGTAAAATTTTGTATAAATAAATTTAGCAAATTACCTGAATCACCTAAAGATTAACCACCCTGACCCTACCTCATTCCCCACATAGTGTTAGGGGGCTTAATCTATAGGTGAAATAATATCTTATACATTCCATAAAAACTAGGTGGCTAAATAGAGGCCCGTGAGTGGCTTATTCCTCAACCAATGAGAGAAGGTTGACAGAGTAACATGGCTCATTAGATATATGTTAATATAATTTGTATTTTCCTTCAGACATAAATGATTGCTTTTTCCCGTCTCGTTCACAGTGTTAGTTTGACTATGAGTCGTCATGTATCTAACAACAAACTTTGTAAGGACTTGGGATATGAACCATCAGGCACTAGAGGGAGTGAACATAATTTTATGGTACCTGGTGTCCACAATCAAGTGAAAAACACTTTATTCTTTACTGCTATAACAGCCTGGAACAAGTTACCAGACCACATCAAAACCAGTTATGGTATTAAGCAATTCAAAGCTAAAACAAAGAAATACATAAAAGATGAAGATACAGCAAGAGAAGAAAGTGGGTTTTATTAAACGATAGAAGGTAGTACCGGGGTGGTGATCCAGCAGCCTAACCCGGCCCAAGCAACGGCCTGACTGGAATGAACCATCATATGGCGTTGTCAGCTCTCATTGTTAGAATGGTTTACCAGTATTTGTATATTTGCACTGACTAGGAACTGTACATAGGAAGGTGTATACCAGTACTGTTTGTACACAGTGTACCAGCATCGTCCATATGCATGCTGAAATATATACAGAAATTATCTATCTATCTGTGTATCTATCTACTGGGCATGTACTGGCTCTCCGTAACACTGTTGGAAAGTATTGGGCATGTACTGGCTCTCTGTAACACTGTTGGTAAGTATTGGGAATGTACTGGTTCTCTGTAACACTGTTGGTAAGTATTGGGCATGTACTGGCTCTCTGTAACACTGTTGGTAAGTATTGGGCATGTACTGGCTCTCTGTAACACTGTTGGTAAGTACTGGGCATGTACTGGCTCTCTGTAACACTGTTGGAAAGTATTGGGCATGTACTGGCTCTCTGTAACACTGTTGGTAAGTATTGGGAATGTACTGGTTCTCTGTAACACTGTTGGTAAGTACTGGGCATGTACTGGCTCTCTGTAACACTGTTGGTAAGTATTGGGCATGTACTGGCTCTCTGTAACACTGTTGGTATGTACTGGGCATGTACTGGCCTCTGTAACACTGTTGTAAATTGGCATACTGGCTCGTAACACTGTTGGTAAGTACTGGGCATGTACTGCCTCTGTAACACTGTTGGTAAGTATTGGGCATGTACTGGCTCTCTGTAACACTGTGAAGATGATATCAAATGTACTGCTCTCTGTAACACTGTTGGTAAGTATTGGGCATGTACTGGCTCTCTATTACACACTATTGGTAAGTACTGGTGTACTGGCCTCTGTAATACTGTTGGTAAGTATTGGGCATGTACTGCTCTCTGTAATACTGTTGGTAAGTATTGGCATGTACTGGCTCTCTGTAACACTGTTGGTAAGTACTGGGCATGTACTGGCTCTTCTGTAACACTGTTGGTAAGTATTGGGCATGTACTGGCTCTCTGTTAGACACTATTGGTAAGTACTGGACATGTACTGGCTCTCAGTAACACTGTTGT